TTCTCGAGAAAGGGAAGCGCTGGCTTTCGTTTTGCAGCTTCTCAGGTGTTGAGAGAACTGCCTGTTGACTTGTCTTGCTATGCGTGATTTAGCACGCTGTTCGTGTATTTGTATAGGGCCTAGGTCTAAGTGGACATCTTCACACTCACCACTCTAGCCGAACCAATATGGGTAGAAATGGAAGGCTTTGCCACCGACACATCAAAAGAGCCAACACCACAAGGAAGCTCCGCCATGCTCCATCCATGGTAGACTGTGCGCCCAGGTTGGCCTGGCAATCGCTGGTTGGAGCTGGCGGGACGAGCTCTCAGAGAGAGGGAAACCCCCGCCCCCAGCGCTTCTCCAGTACTCGCTATAGTCGCTCCAAGTAGATACAGCGGTTTCGGAGTAGATGGCACTGGCACCCCAAGATGACTTAGACAGATGGGGGTCCATATACTTGTAAACCACCAATTTTGGACATTTCTGCCATTGGTCCTCTCCATCCACGATAAGAAATTATATTGTCCTTTCTTTCTTGGCAGCCGCCCCTTTTCAAGAATCTTCCATCCAACACTCGGTCCTCATCCATACCCTGGGTGTGCCCCTTGCAACCACCTTTGGCTCCAAACACGAGGCTTGTTCAACCCAAGACAAGCAGCACACCGATTCACGTTTAGCACTCCGACAGCCTGCTAGTCCAGCCAGCCACCCCATGACTGAAGGGTCAGACCAAACATTTGTTTGTTAATTACATAGACCGAAAATGTGTCGCGACAGGCCATCAAAATCCTTGAAAATCCGTTTTCTTCGGAGCCCATGTGCTCGTCCATCCCCAGCCCAGCCCTTCTGAAGACACCCCCTTTCAGATGAATCAGGACCTCTCCAGTCAACCAGTTTCATCCGAAGACAGGACGTTGTGGTGTATGTTTGGGGGGATGTGTGACATGTCCCGGGAGGGCCCCTTCTCGACATGGCCACGCAAGTGGGCCAAAACCAGAAATCACACGGAAGAAAGCGAAGGTGTCAAGTCTTTGAGACTTGTTCAAGGTCACCAATGGCCAGTTTCCACCAAAGTAGGCTCTAGGACACAGCAGAAACTTTGCATATAGTTGTGTGTGACTTGGAGACCCCTTTTTGACAATTGTCCAAGTGTTTTTTGTTAAACATCGTGTTCTTTTTGGAAAAACAAACAGGTTGACCTTTTCACTGTTTTGTCGTCCTCCGTTTAAAGTAATTCACTGTTTCCAACCCACAGTGGCACATGTCCAGAAAGCAAGTGCGTTTCACGCGAAAAGACCCCGGAGTGGCGTTTTGGGAAGCTTCGTAGCGGGTTTGCGGGCTTGGTGATATATTGAGCTGGTTGAGGTGGTTGAAACCCACACACAACAGAACGATACATTGGCCTTCTAGAGGGAAGAGCGAATTGGAATCCAATTTGTTGAGGATCAGAAGGAAGCAAGTTCGAACACGTTCTTGGACATCACTGGATCGACTGTTGGATCCACTGCCCATCAAGCGGGCACGCAGGACCTTACCACTGCTGGGCGAGGCGGAGACTTCCTTGTGGCAGTGGTGTCGGGCGATCGAATTGGAGTGACTGGGCGGGCTTGACTCTGTTCCATGGAATTGTTGTCATCCAAGCTGTTGTCCTTGGAAATGGGTGTTCCCAGCAAGTGTTAAACAGTGCATGACAGTGCCTTTGCTGCAGAAGCTGGTGTAGATGAACACTTTTAGACGCAATCACAAAGGCCCTGATGGCCAAGTTGTACTGTTTCTCTCGCATATTATGTCAAGAGAAATCCAGGCCAACCTCCTGAGAATTTGTACTCGCAGGTTTGACTACAGTTTTGGCCTAGATTTACTGCATTGATTTGAGAGACAGTTGCCTGCCTCGTTGCTGAGCCAACGTGGGAATCCACGCTTAGTTGAGGAACAGCTGCCCTGTTCAGCAAAGAAGGCACCTGTTACTACTAGCGTGGCACTTGTTACTACTAGTAAGGCACCTGTTACTACTAGCGTGGCACTTGGTTCTCGGGGGGTCTTTGTTACCAGTCACATCTTCCCACGGTCGACCAACGACTGGCACCTGAGACTCGGCTCCGCAGGCGCGGAGTTGGACCAGCCATGTGGCGAGCACCTTTCAGGACCCGGAGGGTGCAAATCATCTGTGTTTTCGCCCGCTCTCCCCCTCCCTACTCAATTCAGTAAGCACCTGCTTGATTAAGTAAGGGAGAAGTTTGCTTCTAGCTACTAGTTAGCTTCTAGGTAGGACAGGATAGCGAAGACGCTTCTTTAAGGAAGCTTCCCCCAGCCCTCAGGCCGGGGGTGCTTCCTTGAAGAAGCGTCTTCGCCGAGTCTTCGCTATCCTGCTGTGGTTCCTTCGATCTGGACACGTCGCTAGGACAGGCCGACACAGGTCCAGCCCAGCGCGCCTCCCTTGGAGCCTGGATTTGCAGGGACGCCTAGAGTTTCGTTGGGTCGAAGTGCGTTCGTCGTCTCTCGCGGCACTGAAATGGTAAGACTGATGGACTCCCTTTGCTAGTAGTAAGAATAGGAGCCCCTAGTAGCTTCTTGCTCCTAGTAGTAAGGCCAGGAGACCCCCTGTTCGTAGCGTCCGATCGCGAACCGTTCGTAGCGATGCCCTTTTGTGACGTTCGTAGCTTCTTGTTATTACTAGCGTCCTTGTTACTACTAGTAAGGCACTTGTTACTAGAAGCGATGCACTGGTTCCTAGTAGCTTCTTGTTATTACTAGCGTCCTTGTTACTACTAGTAAGGCACTTGTTACTAGAAGCGATGCACTGGTTCCTAGTAGCTTCTTGTTATTACTAGCGTCCTTGTTACTACTAGCGTGGCACTTGTTACTAGAAGCGATGCACTTGTTCCTAGTAGCTTCTTGTTACATCACACGTCTCGCACCGGAAAAGACCGATTCCGTGAGTCCGCGACATCGCCACCGGCGCCATCGCCCAGGAGCCGACAGCGCAACAGGCCCTTCACCAGCTGGATTGAAAAGGGGGGGCGGGTGGCGCGTACAGCGTACGGCTGTGGGGTTGGTATGATTGGCAGTATCCTTCAACTGAAGGTGGACAAACACAGGCTTTGCAGATCAAAGGGGTCGTTGGAGGGGTCCGCGCTGGGGAAGCAGCTACAAGGTTTTGGTTCAATAGTCTGACGCTTCACATGATTCTCGTTTGGCGGGTTAAGCTTTAGCATTTCTTTTTTGGAGTTGTAGTCGAAGCCAAAGCCCGTTTGTTGCTCATACCAGAATCGAAGCAGTTGTTCATCTTGTTACCTCTTGGTTATATCAAAGCGAGTACAACAATGTGCATGACAAGGAGCATCAAGCAACTTGTTTAGATTGCGTCAAAAGCAGCAGCTTTGACATCATAATTATCCAAGAGGTGCCCCCTTTGTCACGGGCCCGCAATGCTTCCATGCGCGATGGTTCGTACACGTGCGAGCGTTTGTGTGTGTGTGCTATCCTGTGAAAAGGGATTTTGACTAGTAGCAAATAGCTACTAGTAGCGTCCTTGCTCCTAGTAGCGATGCCCTTTGTTCCTAGTAGCTTCTTGCTCCCAGTAGCGATGGATGCCAGGAGCCCCTAGTAGCGTCCGATCGCTCCTATTGGTTGCCTGACCTCTCGCAGATTGGCTCAAAGATGGAACATTTGGCGGTCAGAAATGCGCCACATGTTGCCCGTGCCTTGATTGAACACTAGCGGTTAGGATCTCCCCTCGCTCTCTGGCTAAACCATCATCCATGTCCTTTGCAAAGGCAGCAGCGCCCCCTCATTCCAGCATGTAAGTTAACTCTTGGGATGAGATTCTTTCTTCAAAGCGGAAAAAAAAAATTGTCTCTTGCAATGCTGAGGCTCCAGCCAAAAGCTGAGGAGGTCCAGTCAAACAGTGTCAACATGTGTCAACTTCAAAGGGTGGACACCGAGGTTCGGCTGGGTGTGAAGCCATCCGTGTGCTTTTGCGCATTTGGGGGACGATACCATTCTGCTCTTGAGACCCACCAAAGCAAGAAGTGCTCGATGTTTAGCTTCTGTTCCTAATAGCTTCTTGTTACTAGTAGTAAGGCACTTGTTACTAGAAGCGATGCACTTGTTCCTAATAGCTTCTTGTTTATCTCAAGTTTGTGGGTTGGGGTCGGGGTCAGGGTGGGATCGATGGCTATAACCTTTGAGGGAGGCCCCAGAGGGAGGCCCCAAGGCGCTGTTGTAGTTCTTTGCCTACTCGAGCTTTTGTTTATCCACTTCTTCGTGAAGAAATTCTAGATCACAGTTGGCAAAGTCGATGCGCCGTGCTCGTTTAAGCGTCTATGCAAAGCCACGGAGATTCAATTTGTGTTTGTCTCTCCACGCCGTCCTGGCAGGGCATAAACTGTACAGAGGTTCGCAAGATTCCAGGGGATTCTCAACACCACTGCTCCCCCAGGAAGTAATGCAGGTACAGTATGTCTCAGTGATTCCTAGTTTACAAATTCCTGGAGTCCAGCAGTGTGTTTGCCAGGAACAAGAAGGCGCTTGGCCAAACCATTTCCTGGCTAGAAAAGATACTGCTGACTTTTTATCAGCGTTTCTATCGCTCAACAACTAACTACTTGCTTGAAGTTTCAACCATTGTAACTCCCACTTTTGCACTGTTCTTCCCGTTGGCAGTTAAAAATCAGAGGGCATAGATAGGTTCATTTCATGCCTCGAGTTTCTTTTTTCTCGGTGCCTTTGAAAGCAGGACGGGCGCATTGAGCGCTGCGGTATCCACGATATGCCTGAGCTCTGCTGGGGACCTCGTGCGCAGATGGTGGTTTTGGGGTCTTGTGTGATGCGTCCGGTGGAGTGCAGGGGAGAGCGCAAGTTGATCTACCAACCACCTTTTTTGGAGCTTGAAAGAAATCGATCACACTCAACAGCTCTACCTAAATGATGTGAAATTCACCGGGGGAGACCTTGAAGACGAGCACTTACAACGAACTAGTAGTGATCGAACGATGACGAACTCTTCCATGTCCAATTCGTGCGGCGCTGCCCACGGCGAGCCTGGCTCCACCAAGAACCACGTGGAGAACGTCCACCTTGTTGGAGGTCCACAGGTTGTGACCGGATGAAGTAGGATCAGCTTCTTGTTACGTTCGTAGCGTCCGATCGCTCCGTTCGTAGCGATGCCAGGAGCCCCGATCGTAGCTTCTTGGTTCTCTTTTTACAAATCTCCAGGTTTCCCCAAGTCCTTAGAGGCACCCGGCACGTTGCGAGGTCCGGTGTTGGACGCCCCAGAGCATGGCGCCATCAAGGCAGCAGGGCATTTTTGGAGGATTCCGAAGATGGGAAAGCCACTCGCTGAACTCCTAAAATCATGAATCAGTGGATGCATTCATCAACTTCTTCCAGCAACAGCCTTTTACCCTTTCTTTATCATGTTTTAAGAGCCCATATGTCGGGTGCCAAGATTTCTGATCCGAAAAGCGTGATCCACGAGTTGGCATTGCTTTTGGAGACGGCGATTGTTTCCAGGTGGAAGGCACTCCACACACCGAGGCCGGATGAGGGATCCTCCCGTGAGACTCTTCGGGTGATGTGTTTTGGCGAACGAAATGGATTGGCCGATTTCAGGCTGTTTTCCTCACTCCGTTGGAACGAAACACGGCGAAGCTTGGAGCCAAGTGTGATTTTTCCATCCTGGCCAATTGGTCGACTGAACGGATGTCACCGGAATTGGTCGGTTGCAAACCCAACTGGTGGGTTCGATCCACTTCAAGCTTGCATTGCAAAGTGTTCGATGCATATCCTGGATATCTTCTCTAAATATCGATAGGCTTGTCGTGTCCATTTATTTGGGGACCATGATTCATGCGTCAAGACGACTTGCTTCTGGGGGCTGCCAAACGAGCTTGGAGACCAAGGAGTCACATGACAAACGAAGAAGGGCGGGTTGCGAATGGACCAGCCCTAAACCTATGATGTGTTAAGAGCTGCAAAATGTTGAGTTCATTTGCAGGACACAGAATTTGGACCATACTTCATATGGGGATTGAGTTGAAATGAAAGGCTTGAGGGGCCGAGGATGTTCAACGAAGTTCCGAATGAGTTGGGTGGTTGCTCCTCATCAAGTTGATCAACTGAGCCAGGCCTGCTATGCACACACAGGCTCTGAGCTCATTGCAGAAATGACTTGTTTACCATGTCAGTTGGAGGTTCAGGCCTGCTATGTCACAATGCTGGAATTTGCTACAATATTGGCACTTGCAAAGGGTCAAAGACAAGTCCTGGCCATCTCAAACTAGTCAGTTGGTCAGCAGTTCAACTATTGTTCAGCATCCTCTCCATCATTTCTAAAGTGTTGAAACAGGTCACTTAAGCTCCCTTCAGCCTACTGGTGCGTTCAGTTGTTTACTACAACTTCCATTTTGGAGGTTGCATTCACTCTTCGATCGAGGCTGATCCATTGCAGGCTGCCTCACCGCAGCTTCAGGAGACGAGGCCCAGATTGCTTGGATTTCCTCCCCCACCAGGTTCAGTGGTTGCAACGTATCATCTAGCAGTCTTTGATTGGGTCAAGACAGGACAAGTCTGCAAACTCTGACCTCCATTTAGCCAATTCCTTGGACCAACCAAGCTCTGCCGCTGCCAGCCAGTAATTCCCACTTCACAACGAGGTCTCAAAGTGAGTGAGAGTTGATTGAGATCGAGATATTATATGATATACAACTTTATATATATATATATATATGATATATATATATATATATTTATATATTTATATATAAGAGATCCCAAAAAAGAATGCGAAAAGACCACAAAGGAAGAGCAATCGTTCGACCTGAAACGCTCAGGGTGATCGACCGCCTGCCGAGCAGTTTGGCTGCGGTGGGTCGCTTGGGGTCCTCCGCCCCTGTGGCCGTTCGGGTCACGCAGGCCCATCCGGGCGTGAGGCTTCAACCGAGTGCAAAGGGTCCAAGCGGCATTCGTGTTTTCTGCTTAACGAAGTAGATGGGTCTACTAGGGGCCGTCTAGGGATGGCCTCCAACCTACTAGCGGTGGCCTCCAACCTTATAGCAGGCCCGAGGCCCTGCGTTCCTACTTAATTCAGTAGAGACTGCCTACTTAATTAAGGAAGGGAGAAGCTCGCTCCCAGCTGTTTAAGCTACTACATACTCAGCGCAGGATAGCCCATGAACTAATGATTTCGTTTCTAAATTTTTACGGAGCGGCATTTGTGTTCTGCAAGACCTGCGGTTACCGTTGGGTAGTGGAGTCCAGTTTGCCGTGAGCCAAGCAGCGAAAAACGATCAACAGCTGTTTTGGAGTCTTCCTCGCAGTTTCTGGTGTTCATTCCCTTTGCCGCCGTGTCCTTCGGTGTCATCCACTGTGTCCGTCTGAAGCATTGACGTCCGATTGTTGGATGAAGCCACCAGGCCGTCCATGCAGTTGATACTCGTGGGCCACCCCAAGCTGCAATCTCAGTGACTCGCTGGGTGAGGACATCTGAAGAGGTCGTCCTTTTGGTTCCGTGAGAAGCCCATTTGGCCTGTATACACCGCAGATCTTTCCTTGAGAAGAGCATTTGGGGACGCACTTACTTATTCTTTCGATAAGACCAGAGCATCTCACGCAGCTCGCCTTTGGAGTTTGGAAGGGTTCACAATTATCCTTGGCTGCATGTGTGTACCACAAAGTTTGATGAGCTCCGATCAACGATGTTTGTGCCATTGCCTGGCTTTGATGCTGGAAAGCCCCGGCTTTGGTTTTGGCTTCTCAGAAGCGCCAGTTTCCAGAACCAAGCCAGCTTGGGACACCTGATCCAAGGTAGTGGTCTCCAGCAAAGAGAAGTCAGGCCACTTCTCTCGAGGCACTTCTGCAGTGAGGGCATGTTCAAAAGACACAATGCCAGCTGAAACAGACGACATTTGTTCTGCCATCGCTAGTAGGTTGGAGGTCTTATTGGTTTCATGTTGAACGGTTTTTCACCAGTCACTCCCGCTGCACAACGACGCCACACAACGCTTGGCTCCCACCGACGAGGAGTGCTTGACCGAATCAAGATGCGTCTTGAAGGACAGGGAACCTACGCAGTTGCTCGATGGCAGTCGAAGGTTTGTCATTGGGGATGGCCGGCAAGGATTGATGGGGCATTTCAGCAGGAGCTTTTTTCGAGGGAAATGATACAACAAGCCATAACGATCTCTCACAGGAGTCCTTCATTTTTGCTTTTGCCGCCCTGCTAAAAGGTTCAAAAACCAGGAAGATGAGGAATTGAAGAAAGCAGTTTCTTGAATGGAGATTCCTAAATTTTTGAATTTTTGACTCTTGGTGAGAGAACCCACTGATGGCTCGTACATGTCATCCCAGCGTGAAACAAAGTTGAGCTCAAACCTTGAGAGAGAGTCATGCTGATTGTGTTGCATGTGTTCTTTAGACCGTCAGACCGTTTGTTTATGTTCTTTTCTGTTCTTTTCTTTTGATCTCAACACGAAACTGAGCATAAAGACATCATCGAGGTGATTAGCGCGCTAGCCAGGACCTCAGCACGATCTGCCTCTGTGTCGTCCAATTTCCGCTCAATTTTCTCCAGAACCAGCGCATGTGCATTCCAACAATGCACCAAGCAGTGATCCTTGTTGCGTCTGATGAGTTTAAAGAAAGTTCTTCTGTAGAAAAATAGCCTTCATCATGTAGTCTTCAGCTGACCAAAACTGTCGAAGTGAGGTCGTGAACATGGGCATCCGCTTGTTGAGCGGCAATTCACCCGACATGCTCAGAGAGGTCTGGGATGTTAGCCTTTTGCTGTTAGCGGCTTTATCGCATGTGTGTGTGTGTGTGACCGTCCAGAAGATGGTACAGCAAAAGGACACTTCCAAATCGTTGGACATGTCCAAACCAAAGATGAAAATGTCCCACCGAAGCTGCATGAATTCTAAGTCTTTCGATACTGCCACATACTTCTTCCAGATCTGAAGAGATGTCCGAAAATCCATCCGTTGAGACCGAAAGTGTGTCTTTTTGTGTTCACCGTCTCTCCCTCTCTGTCTCCTCTCTCTCTCCCTCCCTCCGGAGGCTTGGGCGCCAGTCGCCTGCGCTTACTCTTGTGCCCTGGCGACCTGTGTCCTCAGTGGGGTATCGCTGGCTTGTACGGGACACTGAGGCCGATGGCCATGAAGCCGACACCGAACAAACTCGAAGATCTTCAAAAAAAGCAAACTAAAAATAATTTCAAAATGGCCATGGCCATGGCCTCCTACCTACTGCCAATGGCTTCCAACCTAATAGCATGGAGGCCCAACCTAATCAAAGAAGCTGACGAGGTTGTTCCTACATCGATCACAGCATTTTAGACTCACTGCAGCTGTTCTTCCACATGAGTCCAACTATGTGTTGAAAAGCTTTGGCCATTGATGACAGGTCTATGCCACGGTCATTTTTACGTTGACCAAGATGTATTCCATGACCGTGATCGGCAACTATAAGGCCTTGCAAATAGCTGGTGATGAATTCACCATGAAACATTTGGTGATGAGTGAAGATTGGCAACTAACAGCGAGAAGTTTCCTTTGCCAAGTCTTCAAGCTGGTGAAGAGAGTGTGGGCTGTCCAATGGCTCAGGATGCTCAATTTGCGGAGTTCTTCCAAGAGACTCAGAAATATCGCGAAGCAGGAGATTCCTGGGCAATAGTCAGATGGGTAGTCCGCGGCAGATTCACTTGGACAAACATCAGGTTCTCATTTGCGCTCGAGGCACGACTGATGCTTTGTGGGCAACACTTGGGATGGTAATGCATGGGTCGGTTTTTGCACAGTCTCAGGGAGCGCCTAGTTTCTTTTAAAAGCAACCCATTTTGCACCTCCAATCCTCACCTACTTGCAATGGCCTCCAATCTAGCAATGGCCTCCAGATAAACGAACTTTTGCACCTCCAATCTTCAAGCTTAAAAGCAATCAGAACATGTTTCCTCTTTTTCGATGGGTGGTCTGTATGCAAATGAACATGTCCAATGAGCTGTGTCCCTTTAAAGACACCCCAAGCTGCTGTCAGGATTCTGGGCCTTTTGCGCGTCCCTGGGGAGTTTTGCGTTCGCCTTTGTGACCTTCTTCCTTCTAAAGTGCCTTGGCCACGGTTCTCAAGGGGTTTTCTGTGGTGTTTCTTCAGGAGTTCCTTCACAAGCGTCATATGTTTTGGTTGAGCAAAAGGGCACAACCGCATGACCCTGGCAAAGGCTGTTCATCGGGTTCCAGGTTGCACTTCAATTCATGGAACAAGCGTTTCAGAGAATTCTCGCATTGGGCCTGGTCTTGTGCGCTACAGGATCCGAGGATGGCCTGGCATCACAGGTTTCACCCTGGGAGTGGCCATCGCGGTGAAGGCCCAGTTCTTCACTGTGGCGGTGACGATGGAAGAATGTTTGCCATTGCATTCACGAAGGTCGGATAGCTCAAGGCAAATTTAGAAGATCAGATCATTTGGACGCATTTTGGAGCTGAAGCCGCTAAGCTGGAGCTAAAGCCCGGTTCATATGTGTGCATCCTTTTCACCTGGAGGCAATGCTGGACTTCCGCGGCATTTACCGGCGTGTGGAGCTTTGGACCAGAAGCAGGAGAAGAATTCATAGGACTTTTTGCCAGAAAGGCTTCGATGTCATTGATGTGTTGCTTAAACTGTTGAAGGGTTGTTTCTTCAAGTGCCCCGGAACTTTGCATCGAAGGGCCGGGGCTATCAAGAGTAAGTCTTCTCATCCGGCACGGCTTCTTGAAACTCAAGGTGCAGGGAACATACTCCGATGATGCCTGAGACACAGCCCGCCGCGCGCCGCAGCTGTAGAAGCCCGTGTTGTTGATTGTTCTAGTCATAAACTTTTGCATAAATTGCATCATGTTCATCCACCTCTTGTCCAAATGACAGCCCATGTTCGCAGTTTCAAATGTTTAGGTCCGCTGTGCTCAAAACACAAAAATGTGTTCAGACTTTTTGAGGACCTTTTGGGGATTGACCAGGTGGGTGAGGATCCAATGCACAAAAGCAATATCTTTGGCGAACTCGAAGGTGCAGGGATTCTTGTTCCTAGCGATGCCCTTTGTTACTACTAGCGATGCACTTGTTCCTAATACCTTCTTGTTCCTAGTAGTAAGGCCAGGAGCTACTAGTAGCGTCCTTGCTCCTAGTAGCGATGCCCTTTGTTATTACTAGCGTCCTTGTTACTACTAGTAAGGCACTTGTTACTAGTAGCAAGTTTATAGATATTGTCATCTCCCTAGTAGTGTCCGATCGCTCCGTTCGTAGCGATGCCCTTTGCTCCGTTCGTAGCGTCCTTGCCATCAATCACCGGCTTTCAATCAGACTTCTGTGTTGCAACTCTCCCACCGAGTCCCACCTGTTGGAAGGTTGCCACTCCTACCCATTCGCTCAGGCTTCGTGCGCACATGCGAGGATCTGACCGGTTTTTCCACCGACATCTCTAGATGTCCATGTCTACCGAAGATCCATCTGAATTTGGGGCCTTGAGGCCTTGAGGCCTTGACCACCCCTTCCAAGCACGCGCTCTCTAGTGCAAAAGAACGTTATTATGTTTCTTTTATCCTTAATCCTTGAACTTAACTACACCCCTACTTCCAACATTGAACACTTTAGCTCTTGTGCACTTCGACAAGAAAGCTTGTTCATCTTGCTGTCCGTGAGCTTTTGCTTTTTTGTTCTAGAAAGATTACATCACGGATCCTCGAAAGATTGATGGGAATATGAAGCTCGAGCACATTGATCACTAGGCCTTGGAGCCAGATTTGTGGCTGTACAGTGCAAAGACTTTCCTCGTTCTGGCACGTCGGATGTCTTCAGAGCAGACAGCGCGTGCAGTTTTGGGACGCCAGCGCGAGACGACTCACATGTTCATTGTTCAGAGACAATTAGATTAAAGTCATAGCAATGGCCTGCAACCTACTAGGAGCTGTTTGGGGAAAGTTTCGCAGTTGGCTAAGAAACCCCCACTGCTTGTGGCCGTCGTCACCATTGCTCGAGTTCGCATTGCCGAGAGCTGTGGTTTGATCTGCCAGCCTTTCTGCCGCAAGTTCCCTCATGGAGTCGGCAGCACCGCATCACTGTTCTGATACCCAGAAGTGGGTCAAAACCTACAGAGAATGTTCTTTGATCTATGCGCCATTCAGCCATTTCACCCAAGGTATTTGATCGATTTGACCCAGACCCAAATTCCGTCGTCAAACTGAATCTGTTTGGCAACACTGAGTGACTGGTGTGTCAATGTGGAGAAGTGAACCCTGCCCTCAGACTCAGTGTCTCAACACGACCTGAGCCAAGTGGAGCAAAGTTCCGTGCCAAAAAGATGCAAAGCTTCGCTTGCTGCGCACACGAAACAAGACGTGATGATGGATGCGGAGAGATAGCCCAGAAATTGTTTTTCATGGATGGAGTTTCATCCCTGCGTCCACATTCTGTGTTCAGTGGCGAGTGGCGTAGAAGTGGCACTGGGCTTAAGGTGACCAGGCACTGTTGAGGATCGTTAGCAGGTATTCATTTGCAAGGATTATAGTAGCAGGAGGCAGTACTGAGGTTGATCAAACAAGAAGGCAGAATCAAGCAAAGGTGAATACTATGAGCACTATGAGCGTATGAGCAAAGCCAGAATAGCTAATAAGCAGCATGAGCAAACCCGCAATGAGGGAAGCAGAGAGAGCGAAGGCGGAGCTCCGGCAAAGGACGGTCCAGCAGAAGCTCACGCTGTTGTGCTCACGCTGAAGCTCAGCTTCACTTGGTGAACTCAGCTCGTCTTCGTCAGGACCATCAAAGAGCTCAAGGAAATGCTTAGCAAGGTGGCCCAGAGAGAAGACGTGTGATCACGCAGCATGTTCCAACAAACATGAAGCAGCCGGATTCCCACTAGGGGCTCCTGGCCTTACTACTAAGGAACAAAGACGCTACTACGAGCAAAG